GGTATCCAAAAAAAATTCTAAGAAAACAAGGAAAGAATTTCCAAGTCAGTTTCAGACATGCAGAAGAGGTAAAGGGCGGTAAGAAGCCCTTACAAAAGTGTTTGTGTTTCAGAATTGTTGTAAAGTTGCTTTCTAGTCCTGCAGTAGAAAGAACACATAACAGTAACTACAGTATAGCCAATTAGCATCAAACCCACTAGTTTTTAAAAGACCAGAAAAACAGGAAATGCACTTCTTCCTACAGTATGACTTAGTAATTCGCTGATTCTCAAGGTGACCCAACATATCTGCAAGCTGTGCCTTATACTCCTTTTTAGGAGAGAAAACAGACAACCTGCCCAGACTATTGCTGGTGCCACAATGTGCTTCAGGGCAAACCAACCCAGTGCTTATTCAGATTACAACAACCTCTCCTCATTTCAGCTAGAGATTACAGCAGCTGTCCCAATAAAGCAACATCTCGCCTGCATAAGCTGCACACAGAGGATACACAACAGCTAGCTCGCGATGGCCAAACGTTGTCAGCCACAGTGACAGCTCAAGTCCAAATCAGTAGGCACCATCACCCTATTTCTCCATGCTCCTTGACACCGCAGCAGTGCTTCCACTTCAGAGCAGAGCAACAAACAGGGAATTTAGCTGTCCTGCCAATGCTCCTCTTCCTCCATGTCTTGAAGATCATGACCATGGCAAAGAGAAAGAATAATTTTTGAGTAGCCACTGGCCACATACAGTGGCCTGCTGCTGCCTGCACTTGTACAGACCAGTGACGGAGGACATTTGCACTGCAGTTCTCTGAACATCTAAGAATGTGATTGTGGGAAGATCTGTTGTCTACAGTTTGTGGTTCCAGCTGATAAGCTGGTATTTGGCTCAAGCACTGCAAACTTCCACGTGTGACAATGCAAAACAAGCTAAAGTGGCCACCAAGACTTCTGTGATGCACCACAAGTCAGCAGGCAACTGATAATGCAGTAAGTAATATATTTAAAACTAACATCGGAAAGACAAAGAGGGTTTGGGTCTCCTGTGCCAACCATATCTTTAACAGGCATTCCATTTCTCTAGCTGGGAGGAACACATGGGCCTTATTCATTTGTATGTAAAGCTACAGCTGGTCCAAGGCACTGCTGCTGCATTTCAAACCCGTGCACGCAGGACTCATGACACGTTCTGGCATTATGTGTGCTGCCAGTAGCATTACTGCTTTACTGGCGTCTCACAAGCTGAAATTCGACTGCCCGACCATGTGTTCATATACGAGTTCTGTGTTGGCTGAAGATTATCAGGAAGCACTGTCGTTAGCCCAGCAACCTACCAGCTTGTTGCGGGGCTGCTGCACCTACAGGTCTGCCACCTGGAAGCAGCTGCAGCATCTGAGCACTTGATGTCCTCCTACTCCCCTTGAGGGAAGGAAATACCTTGTGCAGCCTTTTAAACTATCATCTCATCTTAAACTCACAGCTCTTACAGTTTGCAATTCTTCTTATGGCCCACCTCATCAATTCCCAATTAGGCTTAGGACTTGTCCTTCCCACTGCCTTTGGGAGGAATGGAACTGAAAACTCTCTTGGCCTGATCTGTTACACCGGCAGAGAAGCCCTTTCGAAAGCCTCATCCTAACTTCAAAGCTGCAGTGGCAATCTGCTCAGATGGAAAAAACTGTGCCTCCTGCGACCAGGAATCGAAGAACTGAGAAAAGTTAGTGCAGCGTAGCACTGGTGATCCCCTGGCACCAGCCTCTGCTGTACTTCCCCTGCGCTCCTGTATTTCTGGGATGTCAGTTAAACGCTGTCGACATCCCCTCCCGGCCACCACTACTGTCACCCCTTACAAAGGAGCGGCCACTCAGCTTCAGCCCTTCCTTGGACCGGGACCGCGGAGCGGACGGGCTGCTGGAGCAGGCGGGGCT